CATAGGCATTTGAGTTTTATTTTGTACACAGAGATGTAGATATAGATATATTCCAAGCTCCCTGTCTAAACATATAGTTTAGTCATCTGTTTCTCACTAAAACCAGTGGGATTGCCTTTGCCTAAACATTTATGCAACCCTTCCTCACTTCCACCTCTTTAGTTCATATTTGTCTAGTTCTCAGAATCTGCTTGTCATGGTTCATAGTTACAGAAAGTACATTGGGTTTCAAATCCTTGGTGCTCTGCGTTCTCTCAATGTTTTCTTTCTTAAATGTGAAAAGAGTCCAGTAGCATTTTTGAGAGAGGAAGCATGAGCGCCTTTAAAACTGCTTTTTAGCCCTGGCCAGTTTGGCTCAGCGGTTAGAGCGTCGGCCTGTGGTCCGGAGAGACCCGGGTTCGGTTCCCGCTAAGGGCATGTACCTCGGTTGCAGTTTGTCCCCGGCCCTGGTTGGTCGTGCGGGTGGCAGCCACTCGATGTGTCCCTTTCACATCGATGTTTCTCTCTCTCTCTCTCCCTCTTGCTCTATCTGAACAAAGAATGAAAAAGTGTCCTCGAGGATAAATGAAATGGTGAGGATAAAATGAAAAAGGTGAGGATAAAAAAATATAAATAAATAAAACTGCTTTCTAGGGTTCTTCCTTTCCATCTCCCATCCACACTGTCATCATGAAAGAGAGGTGATTGTAGCCTGGCTGGATGGCTCAGTTGGTTGAAAGTCATCCTGTACAACAAAAGGTTGTGGGTTTGATTCCCAATCAGAGCACATACCTAGGTTGTGGGTTCTGTCCCCAGTTGGGATGTGTATGAGAGGCAACCGATTAATATTTCTCTTGCACATTGATTTGATATCTTTCTCTCTCTTTCCCTTCCTCTCTCTAAAATTCATTAAAAATATTCCTGGGTGAGGATTTTTTTTTTTTGATCCTCACCTGAGGACATTTTTTTGTTTTTTGTTTTTGTTCAGATAGAGTGGGAGGGTGAGACAGGAAGAGACAGGGAGAGAAACATCGACGTGAAAGGGACACATCGAGTGGCTGCCACCCACACGACCCAACCAGGGCCAGGGACAAACTGCAACTGAGGTACGTGCCCTTAGCGGGAACCGAACCCGGGTCTCTCCAGACCGCAGGCCGACGCTCTAACCGCCGAGCCAAACCAGCCAGGGCCTGGGTGAGGATTTAAAAAAAAAGAAAGAGAGAAAGAGTGGAGATTCAGGAACTAAATCTGGGGCTCTCTAGCTGCTGCTTCATTGCTGTGTACCTCTGAAATCCACATATGAATATCCTGTCTGAATCACAGATGGGACCATTGGCAGTCCTGTCCCTTGTCAAGTTCACTTCAACTTGCTGACCAGAACACAGGGCCCTTATCACCAATGTGTTTTCAGAAGGCCACTTGCTAGGAAGGCAGGATATGTGGCCAACTAGAAATTCAGGGCTTTGGCTGTCTCTTATCAGCAACTAGCCTTGCAAATTTGAACAGGACCTTTTATCTTTCTAGTCCTCTATTTCCTCTTCTGCAGAGTGTGGTGTTAGCTGACCCTTCCATCTGTTTGCATCTGGGAATATTGGAATCCTGCCTTGGGCCCCACTAGTTATTTCCCTCTCTTCATCAGTCAGCAAAGATTTGTGGACATGCCCACATGGTCAGGCTCCTTGCTAGGTGCACTTGGTTGTCCATTACCCTAATTTCTCTGTTTAAGTTTTCTCTTTTCTTTTTCATTCTTTTTTTTTTGGTATGTGCCCCTAGCAGGAACCAAACCCGGGACTCTCTGGTCCACAGCCTGATGCTCCAACTGCTGAGCCAAACCGGCCAGGGCTAAGTTTTCTCTTTTCAAACAAAACAAGAAAAATGTGAAGAGCTTTGAGAGGTCTGGAAGGAAGATACTTGCCAGCTCCCAGAGGAGTTGCTGGGTGCCCCCTCCAAAGCCATAGGAAGCCCTCCACACCCTCTGGCTTATGGAGACAGAGAGGAGGGCATAGGTTTTCCGAGACTTCCCAGGAGTAGACCTAATAAGCCATTTCCCCCATTTTCGAAACCCTTTATGTCCCAGACTTACATTCTTCCAGAAACATTTAAAACTGGGTTTTGCAGCATTGTTATGCCTCCTGTTTGCAGGTTTTGGCAACAATGATGTTTTTTTGTTGTTGTTAATCCTCACCTGAGGATATTTTTTCATTGATTTTTAGAGAGAGTAGAAGAGAGGGAGGGGAGGGAGGGAGAGAGAGAGAAGATCAATGTGTGTGAGGGAGACACATCAATTGGTTGTCTCCCACACCACTCCAACCTGGGATGGGGATCAAACCTGCAACCCAGGTATGTGCCCTTGACTGGGAATCGAACCCAAAACCCTTCGGTCCTCATGCCGACCCTCTAACTGCTGAGCCAAACTGGCCAGGGCAGCAACACCGATTTTATCAGCTCTTTCTTCTGACTATTCTAGTAGGTGGCTAAGTGATTTATTAACCTTGTTTCACAGTTGAAGAAGAGCCAGGAAGCAGCTCTCTCAGGGTCAGTGAGAGCATGAAGATATGAAGATAAAAAATAAAATAGAGTCCCAAATTTAGCTGGGGCCATTTCTGTATCTGATATCCTTGCATTGAGAGTATACGAAATGATTTGACACTTCCCCAGACCCATTAACTTTAAATTAAGAACCCACAGGAGAAAGTTGAAGCAAAATACATATTGGACCCTTGATGTAACAAATGACAAACTGAAACGAATCTGAGGCTGCAGGTCTCCCTGGATGCTTGTTGCTATGCCTGGAGTCACTCTCTCTAAGATGTATAAGATAGAATCACGCTACTGAATGAAGAACTTTGCATCTTAAGATTTTAATTTCAGAGGTAAAATTGTCATTTGAATAAGTGCACAAGGAGATAACAAGGGTATTGCCTGAGAAAAGTGGCCATTCAGGGTCCCACAGGGCACCTAAGTTTAGTGTCAGCACATTGCAGAGAGTGGAGACTTCACCTTGGCATTCAGGTGCTCAGCTGTCTAGTGGTGCCAGATGTGAGAGAGATTGACTTAGGATAACCTTTGAGACTGGAATACAAACTTGAAGGGCAAATGATTAATTTACAAAAGGAAATACAACTAGTAAGCAGATCTAATCTTTTTCACCTCATTGGAAAGCATACAGGGGAAGTGAAATTGTCACCCCAAAATTCCTTGATGAGCATTTTCACTGTAAAGCTTAAAAGTTTAGCTCTGCCCTTATCAGCTGTGTGACTTGTTAGCGTGCATGTGGTATATACTTTATATATATTTCTATCTCTCTACCTTTCCGTAAATTTACATGGCTCAAACACAGAAGAAAAAAAAATCTATAATGAGCCCTGGCTGATTTGGCTTAGCAGTTAGAGTGTTGGTCTTCAGACCAAAGGGTTGCAGGTTTGATTCCGTGTCAAGGGCACGTACCTGGGTTGCAGGTTTAATCCCTGGCCCCATTTGGGAGGCAAGCAATTGATGTGTCTCTCTCACATCAATGTTTCTCTCTCTCTCCCTCTCTCTCCCTCTCTCTCTCTCTCTCTCTCTCTCTCTCTCTCTCTCTCTCCCCCTCCGTCTCTCCCTCCTTTCCACTCTATCTAAAAAATCAATGGAAAATATCCTCTGGTGAAGAGATATATATATAAAAAAAGGTCTATAATGAAAGATTATAGTTCTTATCCGGTTACCCAACTCTCCAGTACTTGCCACCCACTCCCAGGGAACTACATTATGCAGTACCTTTATGAATATATAAACTAATGAAATATAGACCATTATTTGGGGAGGAAGCAAGTTTCTTAATTTTTTCAAGTCTTGGCATCTTCAGTGCTCATTTATCATTGGTCATTGTTATTATTTTTAAATCCTCACCCAAGGATGTTTTTCTGGGAGAGAGAGAGAAACATCGATGTGAGAGGGACACATGGACTGGTTGCCTCCCTCACGACCCCAACTAGTGCTGGGGATGAACTGCAACTGAGGTACATGCCCTTGGCCAGAACTGAACCCAAGACTCATTGGTCCGCGGGCCGACGATCTACCACTGAGCCAAACCGGCCAGCCAGTCATTATTATATATATTTTTAAACTTTTTTCTTTATTAATTTTAGAGAGAGAGGAAGGGAGAGGGAGAGATAGAAACATTGTTGAGAGAGAACATTGATTGGCTGCCTCCTGCATGCCCCCCACTGGAGATTGGGCCCACAACCTGGGCATGTGCCCTGACCAGGAACCAAACTGGCAACCTCTTGGTGCATGGGTCGACACTCAGCCACTGAGCCACACCAGCCAGGGCTCTCCTACACAATTCTTGACTTCCTTCTGCAGGGCTTTTTGCTCACTCCCAAGGACTCCATGCTTGCAAACAGCTTTCCTCCTTTTTCTTTCCAAACTGATCACACTGGAACAATCAATATCTATGACAGACCAGCACTTCTTTTTTTGGTTTTCTTTTAATATTCCTCAACACCCAAGAAACATCTAAACCTGAAGACAATTAAAAAAATTTTTTTTTCCTTCATTGACTTTAGAGAGAGTGGAAGAGGGAGAAAGAGATAGAAAAATCGATGAGAGAGAACATCGATTGCATGCCCCACACTGGGGATTTGGCCCACAACCTGGGCATGTGCCTTGATCCAGAATTGAAACGGCAACCTCTTGGTGCAACCACTGAGCCACACCAGCTGGGCTATATAGAATTTTTATAAGAGGTTATTTAAGCCAAACTGATGACAATTAGCAGGAAGCAAGATCTCAAATGTTCTAGAGCAGTGGTTTTCAACCTTCCTAATGCCGCGACCCTTTAATACAGTTCCTCATGTTGTGGTGACCTCCAACCATAAAATTATTTTTCTTGCTACTTCATAACTGTAATTTTGCTACTGTTATGAATCACCATCGGAAATATGTGTTTTCCAGTGGTCTTAAGCGACCCCTGTAAAAGGGTCGTTCGACCCCCAAAGGAGTTGCGACCCACAGGTTGAGAACTGCTGCTCTAGCGAGTGACAGTTTTGCAGTTTCTTTTATTTATTTATTTATTTTTAATTTTTAAGGGCCATGCTAATCTTCTCTGTATCGTTCCAATTTTAGTATATGTGCTGCTGAAGCGAGCACTGCAGTTTCTTTTAAACAATTGGAATTAAGGGGGAAACATAAGGGAGATTACCTGAAGGTGGGAGAAAGCAATGTGCAGGGTAGTTAAGATTATGTGCTCCCTTGAGGATGGTTAAACCTTCCTTGAAGGGGTATGAAAAAGGGGCAAATCAAAGGTTAACATAGATGCACAGAAACAATGAACAGGGCTTGCTTAAGGGAAAGATAAAACTTTTACTAAAGAAGTTATATACCTGGGATGTGACTACCTATCATGACCTGTCCAGTTAGAATTTATGGTCAGATCACCCCGTGAGGTTATTTTTGGTTAGATTTATCACAGCACCCCTTTTTTTGCCCACACTGTTTCAGGTCCTTGATTTGGCAGTTAGTTAGACCAGGTGATGCTCATAGGCAGCACTCCGTACTTGAGAAATAGTGAATGAATGAATGAGAAAATGTGAAAGGAACATTCTGCAAAATGCAGCCTTGGTCAACAAATACTTATTGAATACCTATTGTGTCCCAGGCCCTGTGGTGCATGCCAGGATAAAAAGTAAACAAAACAAGAGACCCTCCTTAGACTAGTTCTAGCTGCATTATTCTATTATTTCATTTCTATATCTTTCACCTTTTATCACACAAGTAAGGACTTTCAGGATCACATTTGCTTAAGCCCAAAATAAGTTCTGATGTACTGTCAGCAAAATACGGACAGTGCCCCAGTGTGCTGATGGTCTCCAAACAGCTAAAAATCCCCCAAATGCTAAGCTTCCTGATCTTAGGGGTCCTTGGACGGAGAACCTCCTAAAGAACGGACAGAGTGTCCACCAGAGGGTGCTGTGGGGGCAAATTTGAGCCGGGAGGGGAGCTTGACCAGTGACCCTCAGAGCCAGGTAGGCGTCTTGAGTAATCTTTAGTCTTCCTGTGTTTCCTTCCCACCCCCTTGAACCATCGCCGCCCCTCCCCCATAGTTGGTTTCCTCTGAATAATTAGCCACTTTCAGGGACGTAAGAGTGCTTTCTTTGAAAAGACGCCTTGCTCCTGTTTCTGAAGCCCTGTGCTTCAGGCCACTCAGGTCACAGGCCCGGGTGGCTGGGTGGGGGCCTCCAGGACGTCACCGGCCAAGCGCCGCGGGGGCCGCGAAGGGGTTAAGCCGGCCGAGGGGGGGGAAGGGGAGGGGGCGCGGGCCGCGCCTGCGCTCTGCCGCCCTCCATTGTCTCCACGGCGGCGAGGAGCGCCGGCGAGCGCAGCCCGGGACCAAGCGGGGCGGCACGGCTGGCGGGGCCGACAGCAGCTGGAGCGAGATCGCGACGCGACGCGATCGCGGCTTCCCGAGCTCCGCTTGGCCGCCCAGCGCCGCAGCCCGCCCGAGGCCTGGAGGGGTCCGGGCTGCCGTCCATGGTCGCGGCGTCCTGAGGCGGGGTCGCGTCCGGCGCCCCCAGCCCTCCTCCGCCTCCTTCTGTCCGGCGGTCGGCCTCCTCCGGCACCTCCCCGCGCCCGCCCGCCGCCTCCCTCCCTCCTTCCCTGCGGCTCCCCCGGCTTTCGGGCGCCCGGGGGCGGCCTGTGGCGCGCCGAGTCCGCGCCGGACTGCGCCTCTTTGGACCTTGAGGGGAAACATGCGCTTGGCTTGGGTCGTTTCAAATTCTTAGTTTGGGATCCCCGCCCGCCTGCCTCTTCAGCCCCGCGGGTTTTCCTTTTATTTTTTGTCCCCCCCCCTTTTTCCTTCTGATCCCTTTTTGACTCCCTTCCCCTTTATGCTCGCCCAACCCTCCCCCCGCCGCTGAGAAGTGGGGGAGGGCCTCGGCCTCCAGGTTCCCGCCCCATCGGGGCCCGGGCGAGCATGGGGGGCAAGCAGAGCACGGCGGCCCGGTCCCGGGGCCCCTTCCCGGGGGTCTCCACTGATGACAGCGCCGTGCCCCCGCCGGGAGGAGCGCCCCACTTTGGGCACTACCGGACGGGCGGTGGGGCCATGGGGCTGCGCAGCCGCTCAGTCAGCTCGGTGGCGGGCATGGGCATGGACCCCAGCACGGCCGGAGGAGTGCCCTTTGGCCTCTACACCCCCGCCTCCCGTGGGACCGGCGACTCGGAGAGGGCGCCCGGCGGCGGAGGGTCCGCGTCCGAATCTACCTATGCCCAAGGCAATGGTTACCAGGAGACGGGCGGCGGTCACCATAGAGACGGGATGCTGTACCTAGGCTCCCGAGCCTCGCTGGCGGATGCTCTACCTCTGCACATCGCACCCAGGTGGTTCAGCTCGCACAGTGGTGAGTCTGCGGGTAGTGGAGGCCTGGGAGGGAGGAGGGCAAAGGAGGGCGCGCTGGGGCTCCCCAAACCTTGGCGCGCGTGCGAAGGTTTGTACGTAGAGTGCACGACCTGGATTTGTCTTGTCCCCTTGGTTCCCGAAGCCAAGGGACAAATTGGATACCACCCTCTAGAAAAGAGGCTTTCTGCGAGGCTGTGGAGGCGGGTGTTTTAGGACTTCAGTCGTTGGTCCACTTGTGGATGGGCAGAGTGAAACCTGCCTAGTGAAATCTCACTTATTGGCATAGCCCTCTTCAGCGAAGAGGTCTGGCCTGGTTTATAGCAAGTCAGCCTCGGTGCTTTCTTTCGGAAACTGCAGCATTGTGCCGACTTCACCCTTACTAGACAGAAATCCAATTTGACCAAACAAAGTGTGAAAAGAAATAAAATTGGGGCCAATTGGGTGGTTGGATTAGGGCTCTCACTCTAGCTGGGAGAGAGGGGTGCTCAATTTTGCCACCCTGCTGGAGGTCTGTTTGAATTGTTTAAATTGAAATAGCTAGCAGGCTGCAGGCATAGACAGGTGTGGCCTGCTGAATGGAGGCCCAGCCAGAGATCCTCTCTCCCAGGCTTTGCAGGACTAGGGCTCTGGTCACCCGTGCTGCATGCAGTAGGCTTGACTCAATGACTCTTATATCCCTCCATCTTTTTTTCTTACCCTCAATTCTAAGTGCTTGGTCTTCTAGGTAATTTGCATCTTTTTGTAAGGGAGAGGTGGGATTTTATTGCCAGGCTGTTGGTACATGACAGGGGAAGGGGAGGATTCAAAGAATCAGGATGAATTCACATTGTGAACTTCTGGTGACAGGCCAGCAAAAAGCTGGAGGAGGATTTCCCAGGTTCTGACTGGCAGGAGCTTCTGGAGGAAAACAGGTCTGTCTGCTCCCCTAATCTGAGAAGCAAGGTTAGGCTTCTAGAATATTGATCAGAAGGGGTGTGCAGCTGTTATTTACTAATTGGCCTATATATTTGGAAATAGTCTTTTTTTTTTAAATTCTATAAAGTTTAATTTGTGAAATAATTTTTTTTTGAGGAGGGATAGTGATTGATTGCAGTTAACACTTGAAAGTAGCTTTTGAATTGCTTGGATGGTATTTTATTACCTGAACAGGCCTCTAAATATCATTGAAGCTCTCTGACTTGCATCAAACTCTGTCCTGAATGAGATGCAAGGCATGACTGCCTTTGGCACTTCTAGACATTTGATTGACTTTAGACATCTTGAAATTAATAATATTTCTTATAAAATTTGATCCGGAAAGAGTCAGCTGTATTTGTGAGATGATGTGCTTAAGTTTTTAAAATAATTGTCATTAGTATTTTATTATTATTTTTTAAATATATTTTTATTGACTTTTTTTTTTTTTTTTTACAGAGAGAGCAATGGAGAGGGAGGGAGAGATAGAAACATCCATGGGCTGCCTCCTGCATGCCCCCTACTGGGGATCCAGCCTGCAACCTAGGCATGTGCCCTGACCGCGAATCCAACCGGTGACCTCTTGGTGCATGGGATGATGCTCAGTCCACTGAACCACACTGGCTGGGCAGTATTTGATTTTAAATTGAAAAGCACTATAAGAAGTTTCTCTAAAATCAGAGAATTCTGTGTGTTGTTAAACAAATGTAATCTTATAGAGGCTTGTCTGGGGAAGGAGTTCCTTCCCTGTTTGCTAAAATTTCTTGTCTTTCTTTTACTAGAAACTTCTTTTCCCTTATTCCACCACCAGGTTTCATGCTGGAATTTTAAGCTTAAAATTAGATTCCAAAATTTCAGATTCCTTAGCTGTGAAATCTTAGTTTAATTATTTTTTTCATTCAGTTGTGGTCAGGGTAGGAAGAGCCACTGAACCATGGGAATACAGGAAAAGGTGGAACATGTTAATTTCTTAAGGAATTAATGTTAAGCCTGTGTTGGGGGTTACTGTTAACATTTTGGGTAATAACTTTCTTTATAGGACCATTTTGTCATTCTTCAAGACATTGAACATACCTGGCCCTACCCACTAAATGCCCCTAGGAATTTCCAAATGCACTTGGTAGGGTAGGGGCATGGGGGGTTACGGATTGAGAACCACTGCTTTAAGAACTCCTTCTTGCCCGGCCAGTGTGGCTCAGTGTTGTCCCGTGGACTGAGACTGTCCCGGTTCAGTTCCTGGTCAGGGCACATACCTGGTTGCAGGCTCAGTTCCCAGTGGGGGGCATGGATTGATGTCTCTCTCTCACATTGATGTCTCTCTCTCTCTAAAAAAAAAAAAAAACCCTGTTCTTTTATTTAAATAAAGTAAATAGTTTTTTCTGTGCAGTTTATTTGAGATGAACCTTTGTATTTCCACTTTTCTACAGTGTTGGTTCTATCTCCCTTTCTGGAACAGGTCAAGGGATCTTCCTTCCAGGACATCCCTTTTCGTCTCTTGTTCATTGTTACAAGAAGAGAAACTCATTTCTATTTTGGAGCCTTTGAGTAAGATCCGAGCAGTTTTTGCTCTTGTGTCTTAAAAGCATAAGGGTAAGGATTTCGGTGCACAGTTGACTAGATGCCTGGAAGTTGTTGTGATCCTCTTGCTTGTGTTTTCATGGTGCTTTGGAACCCTTCTTGGGCACAGAAAATAGTTGTCAGTGAAGTAAGTGGGGGAGTTCATTAAGCAGGAGGCTTCTTCGAAAGGAGTAAGCAGATGTATCAGGAGGTAGAATCCTGTGGTTCCAGCTCCTCTGAGTAGCTGTGACCTTGGATGAGACACATTTCCTCTCTTGAACCTCATCTTTGTTGTTTTAAATATGTTTTTATTGATCTTTTAGAGAGAGAGATAGAAACATCGATGTGAGAGAGAAACATTGATCTACTGCCTCCTGCACACCCCACACCGGGGATGGAGCCTGCAACCTGGGCATGTGCCCTCCCGGGAATTGAACTGGGACCTCTCAGTCCATGGGATGACACTGAGTCTACTGAGCCACACTGGCCAGGCTCATTTTTGTTATTTTAAAAATAGATGCGTAATTCTCTGCAGGCAGCCTTGTAAGGTTGTTTCCCAAATTCTGTGAGGATTCACAGTACTCATATTTGTCTTCTCTTGGTTCCTACACTTCCTTGGGTTGTGACTCTCACATACCCTGTTCTGTATGCCTGGAATGCTTTCCCTTTCATTCTGTACATGGATAGCTCTTTTATGTTCCCTTAGGTTTCAACTTAAATTTCTCTTCAGAGACCACTCTTAAAAATTGGTTCCTTTCTATTAATCTCTCCACTCACTCATCTGTTACCTTAATAACATTTAAACTTTATAAGTATTTTATTTATCTGTTTACTTTTTCTGTTGAGTTTGACTAACTTTTAAGCTCCATGACAGAACTGTGCCTCTTGATCACTATTGTAACTCTTGTACTGTTTATGCTTGGCACAAATATTTGTTGAGTGTGCCTTGTGTCCATCATCTCATTTAATCATCACTACAACTCATGAGTTAAGACTTTTTATTCCTATTTTACAGATGAGGAAACTGAGGTTAAGGAACCTACACAGTTCAGATAGCAAATAGGTGGTGGAGCTGGGATTGGAATGTGGGTCTTGCCAGAGTCGGACCTGGGCTCTTAATCATTACACTCTACTGCCTCTCATCCTAAAACATAAGGAAGCTAACAGGGTCCTAGAAATTACACTGGCCTGTGAGTCACAGGACTATGTTCATCTCATGACTGGGGTGTTCATTAACTGCCTACTTGTGGCCTTTGGCAAGTGAGTCATTTAGCCTCAGAGTCACCATTTCTTCACCTGTAAGATGGGGATAATATCTATCCTGCTTACCTTGTTGGGTCTCCTGAGATAGTGTTTAGAAAAGCCAAATAACAAACAAATGAAAAGTGGTGTTCCTGTAGGGACATTTCTCCTATAGTTCTCTGCCTTCTTTCATTTCAGAATTTGCTAGGCATTGAGATTTAGAACTGTGTGAACTGTTTCCCCAAAATGGAAGCTAGTGCTATCTGCTGAAGTCTGACCTGCATTGTTGGTCTGTTCACAATAATGAATGCCATCCAGAAGAACCGCTTTATAGAGGATGGGAGTTATAGAGTCCATTCCTTTCCACGTTAAAATTAAGTTTTGCCAAAAGGTGTTTAACTCCTAATAGTATCCTGTTTGTCTCAGAATATGGATTTCTAGACGTGGGGGTGGGAAACATAGAGGATCCACCATGTTGGAAGGAAGAGGTTGCCTGTTTTCTGGGTCCTACTCTAAAATGGCTGGTCACTGAGGGTTTCACTTGAACTTGTTAGTCATATGTATGTATACACAAGCATATTCAGAAAAATCTAGCCCGGCCAGTGTGGCTCCGTGGATTGAGTATTGTCCCATGGACTGAGAGGTCCTTGTTCAATTCCCAGTTAAGTCACATCCTTGGGTTTTGGGCTCGATCCCCAGTGAGGGGCATGCAGGAGGCAGATGATCAATGTTTCTCTCTCACATCGATATTTCTATTTCTCTCTCCCTTCCTTGCTCTCTAAAAAAAAAAAAAAAAAAAATCAATAAAAACGTAAAAAAAAAAGAGATTCACTGTCGTCACCAAGCCACCAACTGGGACTGATAGAACGTGACTTTTCATAAGTCTTTAAACAGGCTAGCAGGCCCTGGCCGGTTTGGCTCAGCAGTTAGAGCGTTGGCCTGTGGTCCAGAGAGACCTGGGTTCGGTTCCTGCTAAGGGTACGTACCTCGGTTGCAGTTTGTCCCCAGCCCTGGTTGGGTCGTGTGGGTGGCGGCCACTCGATGTGTCCCTTTCACATCGATGTTTCTCTCTCTCTCTTTCTCCCTCCCACTCTATCTGAACAAAAAAAATGGAAAAATGTCCTCAGGTGAGGATTAAATAAATAAATAAATAAATAAATAAATAAAATAAACAGGCTAGCAGGATATCTCATGGGTTGTACTTTGCTGCCACTCTAGGATTCTCAAGTGATTTAATTTTCTCTATTC